TGAGGGCTCGGGGCCCAATGTAACGCTTGGTGAATATAAATTAGGCATGTACTAAAAACGTTGCTCTTTTTGGTGTAGTAGCAAAGGATTGGGTTACCTTGAATTGGTTGTGTTTAGTGTAACCATGTAAACAGTGCAAAATTTAGGCTATCGGAATAAGCCCAGACATCTGTTAGGAATTCTATATATAAATATTGGATATCTTTACATGGGTTAAAATGGGATTGTTGGCTCTTGGGTTTTCAAATTCCTGATCTACTGTGGTAGCAGCTGTGGGTTAATAACAAGTCCTGGTACCCTACCCACGAAGGAGCTGGAAGGGCTGGCTTCTCCCTGACACTGACTATGCCGTGTGTCCCCGGGAAGGGCAGACTTGCTCTCACCCTGGAAACAAAATGCACTTATCTGTCCCTATGCCCCCCCAGCAGGGAGATGAGGAGAACCTACAGAGGATCTTAGGATGTCCCATGACCAATGTAGCAGGGCTGGGGGCGTGAGGAGGTGGGACGCTCAAGGACTTCAGTCTTGTTGACCTGTCAAGGCTCTGGTGTCACCTCCTCCGGGAAGCCTGCCTGGTTCGTCTCCTGCCTGCTCTTGCAGCTCACCTTGTACTTTTCTTTTTCTTCTTGGTTAGCTCGTTGTCTGTGGAGCAGGAGCTGAGGGGATCCGGGGTCACAATAGGGTCATCCGCCGGTGCCTCAGCTTGTGGAGGGTGCCGCGGCGGCCTGTGAGGGGAGACCTGGCCCCCCACTTTATAGGTCAGGGAACTGAGGCTCGAGGAGATGACTAGGTGCCCCCTCCCGAGTCACACAGCTGGAGGCCAGGCTGGGTTTGAACCCAGGCCCTGGAGCCACAGCCCTCGTGCCGTCCTCTATAACAGGAAGGCCCAGGGCCAGCGAGGGGAACACTTCATTCTAAGCATCACCACCACCACGGCTGTCGTTGACTGAGTGCTTCAGATGCCCCGAGACTCTGGGTGGCGCAAAGGATGAAGGGCTCGACCACTGCCCTGAAGGTGGGTGATCACATCCACCCAGCGCACCTCAGAAGAAAGGCCTACTGATGCGTTTCTGAAAACTCACCCACTGGAACCCTACGGAGGACAGTTCCACTCTGACACGCGGGGTTGCCATGGGGCAGAGCTGACGCGACGAAGTTGTTGGAGATCCTGGAGTTTCGTAAATGGTTTGTGATTGACTACTGATCTGAGGTGGTCAGTTCAGATCCACCCAGCAGTGCTGTGGAAGAAAACCTTGGGGATCGGCTTCTGTAAAGATTACAGCCCAGAACGCCCTTCGGAGGCTGGTACACCATGCGATCCGCAGCCTGTGCGACTGTGAGGCCAGAAGAACTAGATGGTGCCCGGCTACCACTGTCAGCCCCTCGGAGGGGGATCTATATAGGAGATCCTGGATAGAGAGGGAGAACAATGTGGAACAAAACTCAAAATCATTGAAAAAAGAGACCAGGTTTGCTGGTCCGATAGAGCCTGGTGGAACCCCTGAGACTGTGGCCCCTAGCTGCCCTTCAGGTCTGGAATTGAACCCACTCCTGTGGCTTCCAGACAAACAAAAGACAGGCATATGAGCTGAATATTTACATTAGG